TTCAAACACTGTTGAGGTATATAATTGTATTTTCAACAGTTACCCAAAAGCTAAGTAGGTTGGCAGTGGCTGCCCCCCATACTCAATGCAAAACTCACGCAAGATGCATATATGGAAACAGATTTGGGTGAGCCCAACACCATTGTCTTTACTGCCTTTTATATTTCTCCTAATTTACAAACAGGCAAAGTAATTCTTGATTCATCCTGCTCTCTTCCCCTTTTACCAATATGGAACATTTCAGAGGGAAAAAACAAACAAACCTTCTCTTCCAAGTTTCATATAGAGCTAATTTTAACAGCTAAATTATGTCATTGAAAATAATCTACAACTATACTCATGGGAATAGCATCTCTAGAATTAGCACTTCTTTTGTTTTCGGCAAAAACAACAAAACCTCAAAATGGCAAAACACAAAATAGACTGCAACTCAGGACATGGCTTCAAGGGAAAAGTTATTATTAGACATATTGGAGTAATAATTAGAGGACTCAATCAGGATCAGAGCCCCATTGTGCTAGGTGCTGCGCAAACACACAGAAAGAGACAGGCCCTGTCCCAATAACCAGCTAAAGAATCATAGCATCTCAATTTATGCAATTCAAATCATATATTTAAAAACACAGATTTTTAACCAAGTGGTTAAATACTTTAAAACAAGGTTGCTGTTCAACAGCTTTGAAGTTACACACTGGAATGTTTGTTATGTGTGGTTAACAATTGCTAGCTTTGCTTTTTACATGAGTGGTTTACACACAGTTTGAGCACTGATTTAACTAAAACAATTTAGAGACTGGTTCAGGTAAAACAGTGCAGTCTCCTGCGGTACACACTTTTATTTCAGATGAAGAGTGTCCTAAGAGAAAGTTAGGGCTCACTTTGTCCTATCTGGGGTACCACCCACTTGTCTTGAAGTCCCTGGCTGGGTCATGTGGTAATGGAACGGGAACACTTCAATTTCTAGCCTAAACGGGTATTAACATAATAAATGACTGAACAAGACATAATTTCTCATGATATATCGGAGGCTAAAAATTCAGTTTAAAACCAAAGTTACCCAATAGTGCTAAGAATAATCCAACTATTGCCCTTCTTTTGCAAGACTGGGATAAAGCCAGAGAGCTCCTAGATATGCCTCTTGTAGGACTCAGGTTCAGCTTTAATAAAAATAAATAAATAAATAAAAATAAAAAATGTATTTTTTCAAAATCTGATTCCATAAAAGGATTACAAATTTCAGCTACTGTTTCCTCAAAACTATTCTCAGGTCCTTCAATCAGCTGCAGCAATACAAAATAAAAACAAAACTATTTTGCATGTACCTAAAAGTGAGACCTTATCACTAAAACCAGATCCAGCGGTCAATATAGAAACCCTCTTAAGCAGCTTATTTCCAAAGTTTTAAATGAGTCTATGGAATAATATGACTGATAGATATTATATGCTACATTCTTAGAACAGAGATGTTGGTACAGAAATTGGAGGCTGACTGGCCTACCATTCATAAGATATCAATTTGCAACAGAATCACACAACTACAGTATCAGATTAACCACTGACTGTGTTACTTCCTTGCAACTGCAAACAAAATATGTCCAGAACTACTATGTAAAAGGCTCTGATTCTGCAGCTGACTCCACACAGTCAGATCCCTGCACCTGCACAGAGCCCCAGTGAAATCAGTGAGCATTCCTCAACATGGAATCAGTTGAAGGACTGATGACCAAAATGTTACTCACCTAAGGGAGCCTTATTTTGCTGTTTGTTGGAATGCCCCATTGTATAGTATTTCTTGGTCCTGTCTCAAAATTGTTTTATGTAAGTGACAGGTAGGAGGAAGAAAAGTTATTGAAATACATTACTCCCAATCCCTCATCCTCGCATTGGTGGGAGTAAAACTGATATTATCAACCTGTTTTCATCTATAGTAAAAAATAAAAAATATATCCTAAATCAGTGGCTATCTAAAGCAAAACTTGTTCGACACCCAGAAAATTGAATTAAATTAGTTCAATTTTGTTACACTTACTTACTATCTCAGAGAACACCACAAGTTTTATATGACATGGTTCACCCTCAACCTTAAGTGACTAGACTGCATCAGCAATCCACAGAACCAGAACTGTCCAACATCTAGATCTACCTCAGACCGGACATGCAATCTCCTTCCAGATGTAAACATATAACATGGAACCCTGTATATAATGAGTTTACCATTTCATGGCTATTATCCCTTTCTTCCTGATCCTTACAAAATATGCGCACACTTCACTGATTGTAAATTGTAATTATTTCAGCAGTGACAATTACACATTTTTTTCTTCCCAGGTGTGTCTTGTTTGGTATGGGAAAGAACATTAACATGCTGACGCAAACGTCATTCAAGTACCATGACAGCATTGATGTTATATTTGTGCTGGAAGAGTCACTTTAATTATAAATGCATTTTCAGAGGTTTATAGCTCCTTCCAAAATTACTCCTTTGGCCTGAAGTTTCTCATACTTGTTCACGGTCCAGAAAGGATTGGGGAGAAGGTGAGCTGTTTGTTTGCTTTTGAATTTTAGTAAAATTATGTGAGACTCCTTTTGAGTTACCTGAGCATGAAAAAAATAAAGGTGGTATACATGTATTAATATATTTTTCAGACACTGCTGCTCATGGATAATTCAAGTGTTTTCATTTTTTAATTCAAATTTGAACGATAAAGATTCCTATTCACTAAAACATTACAAAGTTACAAATGAATGAAAATGGCAGTCACTGCCTGTGTGTTTTCCCTCTCAATATAAGTATGCACAGAGTGCATTTATCTAGCGATGTGTTCAAAGGTCTATATACATAACTGCACAGCGCCTGTGCTGCTTATTTTGGATGACAGAACATGCACTCAGTGTTGCTCTTAATTTTTCAAAATATAAAAAGCAAGAAATTTATATAAAAATACTACATTAACGCAAAGTAATAGTTAGATTTTATATGGACAAAAAATAAAATAAACTATGGTTTCAATTTGGCTAGAAAACCACAACCTTTTAAAGTCACAGACACTTCAGATAAGTCATTAGGCTATTTAAATTATGCACTGTAACAACAGCATGGAAGTCTAAGGCAGTTCCACTGCATCTTGTGACGAGGTAAGTCTCAACGTTTAAGATGAACCCAAAGGAGTTTGTGCTCAGAGTTTAGCTGACATCAAATACCAACCCAGCATAGCTTGTGCTCAGGCAAAGCAGCACAAATGATGGGGAAGGGCTGCTTTATAGAGCTCTGATGGCTGGGGCCCCAGTGCAGCTTATCTTCTCCTGGCACCTGCGCTGACTCTTCTGGGTGATGTTGTGATCATGCAAACGTTATCAAGTCACATCACCACAACATGCAAGCCTGCAATGTTTGGATTTAATTGCGCACAATTAAACATGGTTGGATTGAGTGAAACGTATTGTTTTTCCATGCTCTTTGTCCAACTATAGATTTAAGCCAACTTCTTGTTCTAAAAAGTATTAACTAGCTACCAGCATCTGAACAGCTTAGCAGCCTTCACTTAAAAACAAGTCTGAATTTGTCTCAAACAGATTTTCTTAACTTCAAAAGACAATGAAAATATATACAGTAAAGTGACACTAATTTTTTATACTCCCTTAAAGAGAATTTTGTTACGATGTAAACTATCAGTGTTCTTCAATACCATACGTATGATTCCATGTTTAAAATGCACTGCCCTCCCCGCAAAGGTTATTGTTCTTCTGAACACAGTGGGCAAGTGACTACCCAGAAGGTAATTTTTATTGCCACCAGGAAGAACAGTAGAATGGATTCTCCATCCATCTTAGAATGGCTTAAACGGTGCTGAAAAATTTTATACTATTAGTGAAGACCAAAATGGTATGCTCTGAGAGGCATTCATGTCTATTCCTTGCGCATGTTCACTTGGTCCTGATCCTATTTCTACAGAACTTTTGTATGCGGTAAATTTTACTTTTAACCACCAAGAAGGTGAGAGTGTGGAAGATGGAACTGAGGTCTGTATATTTGTTCTATTCCTTATTTTGATTTGATGTCATGCTTCTTCTGCAGAATAGAAACCATAAGATTAAGTATTCGTATGGAGGCTCCTCCTGCAGTTAATTATATCCTTATAGCCTGTACTGAAATATTTTTCCATCTATACTTCATTCACAACAAAAAATTAAATTGAACAAAAAGTAAACCTGTAACCTCTGCCTGTTGGCTCCATCTATTTTGAGACAAGGAAACAAAATGTTGAGAAAAACACCCAGATGTCCACAGCCAAGTATTTAAAAAAAAAAAAAAATGCAAACTTTCAAATTTAAGGCAGCAGTATCCATAGGAATGTACAATTAGAAGGAAACTTATGTTACGAGACACCTCCAACACGTACCTTCCCATCTCAGGCAAAGATCCAACTCCCACTGAATTCGATAGGAGTTTTATCAGTCCCTTAAGCAGCCACTTTAAGTACCACTCCAGTACAATTTTGTTCAGCATTTAGATAGTCTCTCCTACTGGGTTATGGTTAAACGGGACCTAGACTCACCAAAATTTCACTGCCACCAGACAGACACTTCTAACAAACCTAATTCCTACCCCCTCCAGTCCATAATCCTTGAAGACAGATGCTTACTCTCATTTCGAGCTAGATTTTCCATGTCTTTCTCCCTGGCTAGTCTTTGATCTGCTACCCATGAAGTGAGGCAGTCCAGTCAGCTCAAGCCCATTTCTGTTGATCTACTTATGACTCACTGATGAAAGTCCCCCTTCTGATAATATGACACAGATCCCAAGGATCCTAGATGAATCCCTGACCATCCCATCTACTAGACAATTGATTTTTGCTGTTCCCTTAGGTTGTCAATTATCACGAGAATGTTTGAGGGGTAGGAAGAAGAAAAGATGTGGCTATGTTGTTTAAGCCTTCAAGAAAACAGTTTGAGATATTACCCAAGCCCTGAAAGGAAGAGTGCGAGGCTGCAATACCCACCTTATGGCAGCCAGGGTAGGTTGCCATGGTGCTAAGAGCGGGGATACTGGGATTCTTGCTGGTGCTGGCCATGATGTTTTGGATCTGGGTAAGCTCTTGCCTCAGTACCTGCTTCTGGTGGAAGCTAAAGGCTGGGTGGTTGGACGCCATAGTGAAGAGCAAGAGAAATTCATCCCCAGTGCGGCCCTCGTTGAGCTGCAGCCCATAGTTGTTGATGACAGAATCAATGTGGGTAAGTGTGCGGAAGAGGACTCCAGCTGCCTCTCGGTGTGCAGACCCCAACAAGGCAAGGGAGACCAGCAGTTTGCTACGTACCACCTCGTCTGTCAAGTTAGTGAGGCTACCCAAGTCAGCAGGGTTGTTAGCCTTGATTTCAGAGTCACGTAGGGAATGATAGTCCTTGCGGGCCAAGTCCTCTAAGCAGGCACCTAGAAAGCGCAGTTCAAGTGGGATGCACAAGTCCAGGAGGCCACAGAGAAATTCCACCCGCTGCGGGGAGGGCAGTTCTGAGAACCAGCGGTACACACTGTCCCTCTGCAGCCGTGGGCACCGCTTCTCTACCATGTTACTGCTTCTCTACTGCAGCTACCACCACCAATGCTGGTACCCCCGGGGACAGGGGAGGTACACACTGGGGAGTGAAGGAAAGTGCCCACACAAAAGTGGGGGAATGGGACCCTGAGAGATAAGTGCCCAGATACAAGAAGGAGGTACCCTAAAAGCAACACACACTGGGTCCCAAATAGTAAAAATCCAGGAAAATCAGGGAGCTCGCATTAGGGGTGAGATATAGGGACCCAAGGGGGATTACTGATGTGGGGGGACACAGGGATCCCAGGGGCGGGGGCGTCCAATGGTAGGGATGAGAAGACACGCAAGGACCCTGGGAGGGGGGAAGGGAGGACCCCAGGGAGAAGTTTCCGATGGGGCGATGAGAGGACACGCAGGGACCGCAGGGAGGGGTTACTGATGGAGATGTGGGGACACGAA